CTTGCGAAAACTCTCCAACAATCCGTTAGATGTTTTGAATTCAGTGTTCCCTAGCGCATTCCCGTACCACAGGACCCGACACACAGTGATTTTTTGCCCTGACACTGACAAACCACTCCCACACTATTTCATTAATGTTTGCAGTTTTCTTAAGTTCTCTCTTTATTTTTCCATTAGCACAATTTTCCCACTGCTTCAAAATTTCCGTTTTCTTCTCTAGTATCTCATACATTTGGGTTTTACCGACATTAAAACATCTTCATGATCTGCTAAACACACAATTTATCTCGTCCACTCGCATAAATCACCTTTACTCTTGTGTTAAGATCAAGCACGACTCTTTGTAGCCACGATGACTGCTAGACTAAAGTAAAAATATAGGCTTAGAGCCCTTACTGAGTAAAATTTCTTGAAGGGGCAAAAAGTTCAGTTGAATTTCAGTGCAGATAGTGCAGTACCGTTAAAAGCTAAATTGAAAGAGTTGGAGAAAACAAAATTCTGTAGAATGTATAGGATCCTAGAAGATAGAACTCTGCAATAAGAAATGTATTCGAAATTCTCTAAGTAGCAGATACACATTCCTCCACGAGGACAACTGCCATTTCGTGGAGAGGATGTTTGCGCACTGCAGTGCTGCGGAGAGCTATGCTGGCGGGAGCGTAAGCTCCTGGTAGAGCCACCCATGCCAGAGAGGTCAAAAGATAGGGGCCAGACGAGGTGTAGTCTCTGGTTGGGGGTTGGACGTGGCCGTGGCCGTAAGTACCCTATCCCGCAAGAAATGTACTGTTACGAAGCCTCCAGATCCTATGGAAGAAGCCGAGATCCGCACAGGTTAAAGCATCGGTAAAGTGGAAGAAGATACACATTTGTAGACGAATGAGACCTGTCAGATCACACTGCAGTGACTGAAGATTAATTTCTTCTGAGATGTGACGCCGTGTAATAAGGTAGACGTATACCTGCGTCCTCCGAAACGTCACTGAACATCAACCAGATTATTCGGCATCACATCAAAGAAGATAGTAGGCCCTAATCTTCAAACCAGTTATGATTTAATGTGTTTACTGAACGCATACAAACAGTAACTTTCGAATATCAGGAACTTAGCTTTTCCGCGACCAGTTCCACGTCTGTACACAAAGCCCAGGTAAGGAGTTGGGTGTATCCACTTGAAGTGTAGAAACAGACGCACTGTGTATGTGTCCTGCTAAAATCTCATATATTTCTGGTTAAGTAAAGCGAGCAAGAAGTGGAGTCTTGTTATGATCCTGTTTAGCATCATTACTGCGGCTTCAGGAGCCGAAGTGGCACATCGATGAGCGGAACGCTTCATTGCAGTGCAAGTCAAATATGTGAAGTGGCCGAGTGTGTGCTCGCAGTAAGTGCTTCTGTCTCCATCGAAATCAACTTTATTTGAAACATTGTACTGCGGCACCGTCCCAGTGCCCGTTACTCGCTGATGGAGTTGGTTGCTTGTACATGTCCCTCTTAAGCTAGAAGCATCCTCTTCACCATCACAAACCCCTAAATTTAGGAAGCTTTCAAAGGGATTTGATTTATATTATAAATAACTATTACTCGTATATGCTATAGAACAACTACGAAACGTTGAACTGGTTGCAGTACTGTACGGATAATTATGTGTAAAAAGTAAAGTTGTCCCTGTGCTTAACTAATTAATCACTGCGCCATGTTGTCTGTGAATCCCCCCCCCCCACCAGTCATTGACTTGAATATGTAAACCAATATTTATGAAACTTGGTATACGTGCTTAGGTGACTGAGACGAGGGTTTGGATCGGTAATTTGTTTTATTAACAACCTACAGGTCGTAACTACAATTAATTATAACACTGTTACTGACTTACGTATTTTACAATCACTACACACTAATCTCTTCAGTCTATCTCAACTACCCTTCACGGGTTTATAACACGGGAACTATAACAGTCTCCCTAAATCACACACTCCCAATACCACTGCCCTACAGCGCACATAGAGTCTTCAAATCACACGTTAAATCCTCACAAGCCGACCTCCTGTACTTTTCTGTTCTCCTGTTTCCAATTAGCTGTCAATTAATCTCCACAATTCACTCTTCATTCTCGTCCTTGTATTCTCAACTGCTGAACCCTCCTGGACTCTCCACTTTGTAGCTGCCACTTAACTCAAACACACTCAAATACGGAAAACACTGCCTTGGTTCAAGTCAAAGTCAAAGTCACATTGCGACTGACGGTCAGTCAGTCATCCTTGGTGTCGAGGCCCAGACAGTTACGGTCTTGTTATTGTGGGCACCCTCTGTGACGAGAGGACGGGTCTGTCTGTTGTCAGAGTCATCGTCTGCAGAAGTAAGTCATTTGTCGTAATGTAAAGGATATTTACATTTTACATGTTAAACGTGTTAAAAATGTATATACAATATCTACAGGATCTCTGTCAGTCTACACTGCCTTGGTTATTCCTGGAATCTAGTTATATTGCCTCCGCACCGACCACGCACAGAAAACAGCCTGTACTGTTGGAACATGTTTACCGAGCGATTGCATAGCAACGGTCACCGTTCCGACCGCATAGAAAACGCCGTAATCCTATTGTTGCCTTGAGTATATTCGGCCGCGAAGTGTTTAACTGTCAGTTACCTAGCAGCGCTTTGTCCATCCACGATACAATATCATGACACCTGAGCCCATCTCAACGGCGTACTTTTTAAATCCCTCTCATCAGCGTTTCTATATGCGTATTGTTGCTAGGCAGCGGTTCAGTAGACACGTTCCCGTGACAAGGAATACACGCAACAATAGAAGAATTGTTGAAGGCACCGTTTTCTATACGCTCCGTGTCTTATAAAAGGAGAGTATGTGGGTCTCTCTCTATATATCTCTATTGTTGCTAGGAAGGGGCTCGGTAAAGACGTTCCCGCGGCAATGAAGAATTGTTGGAGGCGTCGTTTTCTATGCGGTCCATGTCGTATCAGAATAAATTAGGCGATTAGTTCTTTCCAGAATTTTTTGTGGCGAAGAAAATTTAACCCCACGCCCAAACCCAAAACTGAAAAATAAATCCGTGTAGGCTCTCCACATGTGCTGTATCCACATAGTCGCAGCCGGATGCCGTCTTCTGCATCTCCAACTGGAGAAGGCGTCATGCCTAGGCGACAGGCGACTTCTGCGAAGTTGTAAGTCCCTATTTGTCATATACAGTATACAGGAAACAAATACTACATTAATGACTTGCACAAGAGATTAAGAGTTTTTATTACGTTAACTGTGTGCCTTTTGTTGCCGTGCCTAGCATTCCTGATTGATCATTACTCCAAGCTGTGACGTTAAAGTACAGTCTCTGCAAAATTTGACTCTACGTATTTTAACATATCTGTGTATTTTGAAGAATTCACAAAGTCTTATAGCGCTTTAAGAATCAGCTCGCTGTGTATGGACTGTAATTATGAGCAGTGGAGGAATATGAACCAGATAGACGATTTCTCAGGGCTCTGAGAATACTTCAACCACCCGGCATAGCGTAGCTGGTATAGCGACTTGCTACGGGCTGAAATACCAACGTTTCGAAGTTCGAGTCCCGGTGGAGGCAATAATTTTCACTTTCCCATGTCATCCAGACCGGCTGTGTGGTCACCCAACCTCCTATCCAATGGGTACCTGGGGCTTTTTCCCCGGGGGTAAAACAGCAGGGGCCGGTCATGGTAGCCGAGCGGTCTAAGCCATGTACTGTCTTCGCTCGCTCGGAAGTCGGGATCGCGGATTCGAATCCCAGGCAAAGCATGGATATCTGGTATGTGTATGTGTTTATTCTGTGTTTATGTTGTCCTGTGTGTAGGTAGCGGCCTTGCGACAGGCTGATCACTCGTTCAAGAAATCCTACCCTCCGTAAAATGATCATGAAACTCAAAATCAGAGGCCAAGGCCTTAGGGAGGTGTAGAGTCAGTGAAAGAAAAAAGTGACAGGGGCGTGAAGCTCACCACTCACCTCCAACTAATGCCGAGATCATGAAAATGTGGATCTATACATCCACTCCCCCACACGTCTTCATGGCATAGTGCTTAATTAGTTAAGCACAGGAACAACTTTACTTTACTTTACTTTACTTTACTTACAGACAGGAAATAAGAAAAGAATTGAGAAATCATAATGAGGGGCATCATAATTGTTATTTCTTCTTTTTCTTTTGCTCCTGCTGACGCTACAGCCCATGATGAAACTTGGCCTCTCTTACGATTGCCCTCCACTGGTCCCGATCCTGTGACTTTCGTCTCCAATTTCTACTCCCAAATTCTTCAGATCTTCAGCTGAATCCAGCTACCTGATAGCAGGTCTGCCTGCTCGTCGGGTACCCTCCGGAAGTGCCTCACTCCCATATAGCGACAGCACGTTCCAGGTTTCCGCTCGTGAAGCACTGACTTTGCTAGGTCGTTTTAGCGCTTTCCGTCCTGCCACAATTGTTAAAAGCTTCTCAGCCCCACGCCTAACCCCCCCCCAACTTGCATGACCAGGGTATCCTCTTTGTCTGGGTCATCACCTTTGTTCTGTCCGGCATGGTGGACCTACCAATAGCTACGCTACCGCCGGCATAACCTTCACTATCATATGACCACGCAAACCCTCCCACCACTACAAAAAAATAGGGATACTTGCAGAGGGTTACAATTATTTCTCTTCGTCAAATATTACAGGGTGATCGAAAGGAGGGGTATTAGATGGGCGGGGCATGGAAAAATCACTTGGAGATCAAGGGGTAGCAGGGTGTTAGAGATAATCTTATGGATAAGGAATGGATTAAAGTACCTCTGAATATGGTCATATTGTGGGTTTTTTATTTCGTAGTGCCACGTCTTATTCGCCTTAGCAACTCTGTGTACGCTACAATGCTACTATGGCGGGGCATGTTCTAATGAGTGACCAGTCAATTAGGTACAGTTTCGCTTGTTTTAAAATGCAATTTCTGCCACCCGCGGTGATGGAGGTTTTGTTTTATTGTTGCAGGTTACCTCAGCTTGCCGTCTCAGCGAAGTTGTTGTGTCTCCTGATGGTAAGTCCACTTCCTCTACGATCTTCATATTTTGGCATGTAGAGACTGGATATTTGGGCTGTCATATGTTCATGAGTCTCGCGGAACTCGTAACTAAGAATCACTCTACTAGCGAGGACCAGCAGAAATTCAACTGCCCATAAGTGGATGTTTGTATTATCTTCGTGGCCATAGCGGTGCGAAACGAACCCAAATGACATTCGGCCGTTGATGTGTAGGCAGGTAAGATAGGATTAGACTTAGATTACCGTCTGAATATATCTTAGAATTACTGGGTTTTGGACTTTGTCCATCTTCCGGTATTATAGAAGCTAGAGAACGCAACATTTCGGAAAATAGATCTTGTCTTCAGGTGATGAGACACCTACTATGTTGGGTCCCTTAGGAAGAGCTAACCTCAGTCACTGGACCTATATTTTGTTTATTTCCTTGTGTTTATTATATGTTGTTAAAACCCCGATATATTTGTGTCAGACAATCTCTATGGGGGGGGGGGGGGGTNTACCATAACAAAGGAAAACTTTACAATTAAGATACGTATTTAACATATGAAAAAGTAAATTTGTCCCTGTGCTTAACTAATTACGCACTATGCCATGAAGACTTATGGGAGAGTGGAGGTATATATCCACATTTTCTTGACCCCGGCACTAGTTGGAGATGAGTGGTCAGCTTCACGGCCCGGCTCTTTTACCCCCGGGGGAATAGCCCCCCGGTACCCATTGGATGGGAGCCTGGGTAACGCCCGGAGCCGGTCTTGCCGACATGAAGAGAAAATTCTTGACTCTACCGGGACTCGAAATCCGACCCCTCAGTCGTCCAGCCCGTAGCCAGTCGCTATACCGACTGCGCTATCGGAAAAATTAATTCTATGAAAATAGTTAAGTTTCATTCGTGTTATAACGACGTTGTATCAACTGTCGGTTTCGTAAGGTCAAAAGGGAGGATAATTATGAATCTGGAATTGTGTAGAATAAGAGGGCCTGGGATTATTTAAGGTTAAGTAGGGTCCGTCTTACTTGACCTGAATGTAGTGAGGAACATTGATCAGAACAGCCGTACCCGGGCTGAGAATCGAATCCAAACGTATCTGGTACGAAACAGGAACACTGAGAAATGTGACTACTTTATGTGTGCATCTCGAAGACCAATTTCGAAATCCGTCAGTTGCTGTGGTAGATGGAACATACGGAAGTTCGGGGCGTACAAACAGCACGACCTTCCCGTCAGGTTTTCGTGTTATGCACTGACTGCTTAGAACGAATGGAAAGCATTCATATGGCATATGGAACCGTTAATGAACGTAGAAACAAATGCCATGACAGCAGAACCCGAAGGTTCAACACTTCTAATACCAAAGCCCGCCAGCTGACACGATCCTGGGCCAGTTCTTTCCGCCTCTCATCCTTGGAACTTGAGCTGTTAATGATTAGATCGTAAATAAACTTGGACGTGCTGGTAAGATCTATGTGTATAGATTCGTTTTGTTGTGTACTGTGTGAGACAGAGTAAGTTGCTGGTCCATGGCAAATCGTGCACCGAAAAGGCTGGTCTGTGGGTAAATCTATAGACTTGTATTAAGTAGGTAAGAGTTCGAATCACTGCCGGGACACCGGCTGTCCTGACCGGGGCGTTGTGATTTTCCTCAGTGCCTTCAGGGGAATGCCAGGATAGTACCTCAGTCGGGCCGCATCCTTTCCAATTAATCGGCTATCCTGCTGTACGACATGACGCCTCACAAATCCTCACAACTTCCCGCAAAATAACAGAAAAAAGAAACACGGCAGTTTTACCGGTCTTGGCGTCAGAGAAGGCTGAGGGCCGTGGTCTCTTCGCACTAGACGCAGTGCTGTATCGTGCATCTACAGGTATACACGAAATGAAAGTGTAACGAGGACATCTTGGTCACTGTTACCTCGTGTTTCCATGGCAACCTTCGCTTTTAGCTGTGAGGAAGCGTACACTTCATTAAGGAGGGACACAGTGTTATGACTTCGATTGTCTGAAAACTCTGTGCCTGTTAATTCGTCGCCTAAGTTCTTAAAGGTTCTGTATTCGTATCTTGTGGATTAGGAAACGAGAATAACAGCAAAACGGAGCGTGTCAGTTTCTGTTGTAAATGATATTTAAAAATGCAAATATAACCATTAAGACCCAAGGCGAAGAATGTGTAACCAGTGAGACTTATTTAGTTATTTGTAGTTATGGACCATTAAGTGGTCAATAAATCTATTAAGAAATCTAAACCCCGTCTATAGTCACGAATATACGTGACAGTATTGTCATTTGTAATTTTTTATTACCTTAGAAAAGGTAGATTTTTCTATAATAAGGTTAAATAAAAAATGCATGTCAGTTCAGTTACTTAATACCACAAGTCGTGTAACTGGGGAATACCCAGTACACATTTAAATTCCTCCTCTCTGGAGATGTTCGTGAAGCTTCAGTATAACACTATAAAGAAGTGAATTAATCCTAATATATTTCACAATGCTGAATAATAAATTATAAATTATAATTATAATTATAATGAGAGGTTTCCGAAATTATTGTTGTCTATGTGAATAAGCAATAAGCTCAGATTCTTTGTATAAGAGACAGCCTGAGCCGTTAAACTTCTAAATACGTGAATTGGTAGTAGTGTCCATCAGGTGCAATAGATGTATGACTTCAGGTTCCCACAGCCGTGGTTATGAAGAGCGCTCTCTTCAGGGATATAACACCACCTACACTCACACTGGTATCAAGTTCGGCTTATTTTTCGACCCTGAAAACGGGGGAAATATGTTCCTCCAAAAGTCTGTTGATTTTCAGCGGACTACAGAAAATAGTACACGTGAAATATTAAATTTGTTGCACTTGATAGAAACTACTACGAATTAATATTGTCATAGATTGCGACGTTTCAAGAAACGAATAGGTAAACAGGTTCCCAAGCGTTCAAGAATAGACACCCACTGCTACGCAACGGTTCTAGTGATTCGCTGCATGCAGTGTAACGTTTACTATTAAAAGCCGTTATCCAACTCAAATAATCGTTCAAAACACAGTGACTGTTAAGAACACAATAACTGTGCTGTTGAAAGAGGTGACTTCTACACTTTCCGCCGAAACATTATAACAAGGGAACAATTTGTCAGACTAGTGCTAGCAACAGTTGTAAACGACAGACCCGTCCTCTCGTCAGAGAGAGCGCCCCACATCAACAGAACCGCAAGTGTCTGACAGTAATAAAATTCTGGTCGTAAGCCCCAGATGGGTGTTTTATTCCAAGAGAGGTTGGTCGACTGACCGTCGGTCGTAACGTAAGAATCACACGCAGATGAAAGAAGAACCGAGAAAGGATACGTTGAGTCAGGAGTTCCAGCGAGATCCAAATAGTGTCAGAAGAAGTCAGCAAGGAACAGAAGACAGACAGGCACTGAAGCCAGAAGCGAAGTGGCGTAGTTACAGTAACATTTAGAGCAACCGTGTCAAACATGCGGCCCCTCAACTTTTAGAGCCAATTGATATTAAAATGAATATTAAAATTTTAGTAGAAATATTTTTTGTAAAGACAATTTTCCAACAGACCAGAAGACAAGAAGTCTCACTCAGACATAAATTTACAGGCTGCAGGAAAAGTAATTCTAAGAATTGCAGAAGGGTTTGTCCAACTAACGGTTTGTAAAGTTCGTGAAGGACAAACTATTATATCTCAAAAGGTTAATCCGCACAGCCTCACCATCCCAAGTATTTCCAAGAATCCCTTTTGGAGGCGTAGTAAGAATGCAAGGAGGGCGGCAACTGACAGACAAGTGCAAGGGATTTCTACCTTGAAAACTAGCTTGCAACCCCCAGCCATTGTCTAATGGGCTTCTAGCAAACTTTCACTTTTAAGACCATTGAGGCAAGATACACCTTCCTATTAGTCCGCTAGTCTCTTGTACATTGTCATTCAGTTCATTTTCACACAGCGACAGGTGGTGATGTTACATTGTGATGAACGTATAAGGGTTATAATTAAACATTAAATTATCAACTACGAGTTTTCTTGTATATGTACAGTAACTTTTAAAGGGCAATGTCACTTTCAAAAAATTCAAGTAGCAAAAAAAGAACTATTGAAAGTGAGCCCCGTGTTTTTCAAGAAAAATGGGAAATCGCTTATTTCTGTTGTGAAATAGAAGGTAAAATTACATCTTTGATTTGTGGGCAAAATATAAGTGTTCCACTTTAGGTAATTATATTGAAATTATTCCTAAACAATAGATAGAATTAAATTTCCTTGTATCAAAATCAAATGTATATTTCTAATCTGAAGTGCGGCCCTGGACTATTATTTATAGGGCTGAGGTGGCCCTCTGTACCAGTTGAGTTTGACATGCCTGATTTAGAGTGTTATCATTGTTCGCAGTTACCAAGTGATATAGTCACAGTAACACTGAAAATGTTATAATTAATTGTATTTCCGCCTGTGAACATCCAATAAATCCACTCATCGAGCCAAACCCGCGTTGAAAGTCACTAACACACGTGACAATAAGATGGGCTCAGAAACTCGCATATTGCCATATTCTGATTGAAAACATTAAGATGACGTAAATTAATCATGTCTTTATACCTACCGTTCACGCTGGCTGCGCGGTCTAAGGTATGAACTGTCCTCGCTAGCTGGAACGCTATGATCGTGGGTTCGAATCCCACTCAAGACATGGATGTCTGTGTGCGCCTTTATGCTATGTTTATGTTGTTCTGTGTAGGTAGCGGACTTGCGACGGGCTGATCACTCGTCCAAGGAGTCCTACCGTCTGTGTAAAAAAGATTACGGAACTAAAGAAGAGGCCAGGGCCCAAAAAAGGGCTGTAGAGCCATTGATGAATGAATTAATATATTTTATAGAGGGCATTCTTACCCTTACACTCCGTTTATAAATGAAAATGTAGAATTCCACCAAGTGTCACTGTTTCAGTAGTTAGATAGATAAAATATTATCTGCCTTACATTTTCCTTGCCTCCAGTCGCTATCATCATGAGCCAAACCAACAAATAAGAAACAAAACTCCGTGACCTGTAGTCTGCATGACCGCCGCTTGTCGGCGAAGTTAGCGCCAACTTTAGCAGTTAGAGGGTGTCGTGTGGTCAGTGTAACGGATCACTAAACCAACATCATATACTAATTGTAATTGTACCTGTTTTTGCGTCAGTATCGACCATGGATCCCTCTGTAGAAGAACATAGACTGAGGATAATTTTGAAGCCATGCAGAACTCATGAAACAATGGGAAATGCTGTCAGAATTTAATCGAAAACCATAAAGGTAACAGATCATTTGAGACACTTGGGTTCGTCGAGAGGATAATAATAAAATTAATTTTAAAAACTGGATGAGTGAGCGTGGGCTATGTACCTGCGGGGATGATTAGATTAAGGACAGTGACATTTACGGGGAATATAGCACTTAAAGGGGACAAAAGAAATGTATGCAGAATTTATCTTGAAGAGGAGAGACCACTTTCAGCATCCAGACTTACCTAGAAGAATATTAATAATGTCGAACTTAAAGAGGTAGGGTGTGAGGGTATGGATTGGATATAACTGGCTTAGGCTTTGGTTCTGTGATTGGCTATTGTGAATGCGGTAATGAAGTTTTGCGTTCCGCAAAGAGAATTTCTAGAAGGTTACTGACCATCCTGATAGAAGAGGGTTTTCTTGGATTTCTCACATTTTATAGAGGAATATCAAAACGACGTTCTTGAATAGATGATTAGTGGTTCCTTCCAGATCATTGCATGCCTACAATTCGCGATCATCTTCCTCTTGTATAAGTCGGGTGAGTGTGAAACATGCAGTTTAGATACCGTCTTCAGCCTAAGAATGGAATGTAAATTAAATATTCTTCTATGCATATCGCAGTAGCTACTGACTGTATCATATAATCCGTTTTATATTTTGTTTTATGCTAGTTTACACTTTCCTATCTTCAATTGAAACCCAGATAAAACTGCCGGCACAAATCATACGACGCGAATGATGCTGTGCTCGCTTTACAGTGATTCTTCGTGCACTCAGAAAGTCTCTTTCACTTTCATACGAGTATAACTCGCCTGCAACAGAACAAACCTATTTTCGATTTAAATACAGGCACGTACTTTTGGGGGGGGGGGAGGAAATACATTGAAGACGCATCAACCCGGATTCAGTTACAGGTTCACAGTCTCGAAACCTGTTTCGCTAAGATCCATTGTAATATTGTCTTCACATCACCCAGCCTTCCAAAACAAATACGAGTCAATATTTCCACTTTTTCTCCCTCCCCCCCCCATTGATGCTGTCAACATTGTTAGCTAGTTATTGTATCCTGTGTTTGTTTAACGTAATAATATTAATTGAATTGTAAAGGCAGCGAAGGTTCTCTTTGTGTAATATCTTTCACTTTCCACTTGTTCGTTCTTAAGTTAAATAATTATTGAATTTCATTTGGAGAATTAAAAGTATTTTGTTATTTTTTGTGTCGTTTGCATAAAGTGCATAAAATGAATGCATTTGTAAGTGATCGTATCAGTCTATCGGTCTGTCCAAATGTCTTGTCCAGAACTTCGTGCATCGATGCAACAATACTTTGTTTAGCGGTTAGTTTAACGACCCTGGCATTAACTGAGACCATAGACCTATATTTGCATGGCAGTGAATAATAATTTGAAAATGTGGAGTAATTTAAGGCCCTATCTTACCATTTGGCTAGATGAACTGAGGAAAACAACGTGTCCAGTTCTTCCGAAGTGGCAACTGGGCACCACTTTCGCCAACTTGCTCGATAATTTGTATAGAATTGGGGTTTGCGAGATGCGATTAGTGATAAAGGCCGAGTTTTAAGTTGTGTCTGCGCCGTCTTGTTACAGCCTCTACTCTCTTGTGTTGGCAGGTGGTGATCTGCGGAGCGGTGCCTTCCATGGTGCGATCCGTGCGCCTTTACAATGACTGCAGCAGCAGCGACGTGCGTGTGGACATGGAGGGGCGCGTCCTCGCAGACGACGACAAATCCGACAGATTCCGTAAGTCCGTCAGTTCACTTGCTTCGTCTCCGAAACACTACAGCTGCTTGAACTGTCTGCATTGCAGGAGCCGGGATAGCGTAGTCGGTACAGCTACTGGCTACGGGCTGGACGACCGAGGGGTCGGAGTTCGAGTCCCGGTAGGGTCAAGAATTTTCTCCTCTCCACGTCGTCCAGACCGGTTCTGGGGCCCACCCAGTCTCCTATCCAATGGGTACCGGAGACTATTTCCCCTGGGCTAAAGCGGCAGGAGCGTGAAGTTAACCACCCACCTCCAACCATTGCCGAGGTCAAGAAAACATGGATCTATACATCCACTTCCACCTACGCCTTAATTAGTTAAACACAAGGACAGCTTTACCTCACCTTTATAGATCGATTACTGTATAGAGCTGAGTCCTTTATGAGATGCTGATAGTCGTTCAACAACTCAAAAAATTTCCCGCCTTTTATGGACTTATATATGCTTTATACCCTTGTCCACAAGAACGTAGAATTAGCTTCTGTCCTAAGCCAGATGAATCCAATTTACAAAGTGAAGTACCCCTACGTGGTCGAGTGATTTGTACCTTCAGGTTTTCAGTTAGAAGATGTTTATCGCTCCGTGTTTCTTACATACCCTGTCCTCTTGTACGACTTTATTATTCTGATAGTATTCGGTGAAGAGCACAGATTATGAAACTCCTCATTGTGCAGTATTATCCACCCTCCTGTTACTTCCGCTCGCTCTCTCTCTCTCTCTCTCAGGTCTATGTTCTCACATTACCCCATTCTCAAATAACTTCATCTGTGCTCTTCCTCCCTTGATGCGAGAAGTGAAATTTATAGTTGTAATGTAATGTAATGTAATGTAATGTAATGTATATAAGGGGTGGGCCATAAAAGCCGGCTCCCGCACTACGACCTTCAATGATCTATTGTGTTTCCCCTTAGATTATCCCTTTATTAATCCTACTCCGTGATTTCAGTCCGCAAGCGAACTATACCGACCGAGCGACCGCCGCTTCTCGGCGAAGTTTAGTGCCAACTTTTGCGGATAGAAGGTGTCGCGTGGTCAGCGCAACGAATCCCCAAGGCCGTTAATTTCGGTTTTCTAGACCAGAGCCGCTATTTCCTTGAAATAGCTCCTCAGTTATCATGACGAGGATGAGTGGACTCCGTTCCAGACCCACTACTTCTCCAAAAATATCTGGTAGCGCCGGGAATCGAACCCGGACCTCTGGATCTGTAGCCAGGAACGCTGACCACAGAAGCGGTCGTCCTTATTAATCCTACACTTTTAATAAAGTATAGGACCCTGCTTATGGAGACGTCATAAAAGTCACTGGGTTCCATAAAAAACTGACCCAAGTGACGAAATCTTAAATAAGCTATGGCCTCACAAGCTCACAGGATGTGTGTGTGGCTGATTCGTTTTCTTGTAGGTACCTTTCATAAGTTGGGTTATCTGTCAGTTCCAACTTGAAAAGCTGTCCTTTTAGGTGGCAGGAAATTTATAGTTACGTATGTATTGGTCTTTACGTGTTTAGAAAGCAGACGGGAAGAGTGACTATTCTTAAACAAACCGTAACAAGCATTCGCAAACTTTAGTATGATCTTAATCTGTCTGTGGATGCAGTTTCTCTTTATTTCTGGTATACCCACTTATTTAAACTTTGCCACATTTTAGGATTGTTTTAGCTTCTAATAGACTGTCATATTAGATACATTCAGCATACACCAGCAGTTAGCATGTCCCATGCAGTTCCAGTAATTCATGATTTGCTTGAACCTTCATGACGACATCCTAAAGGAGGTGTGAAAAGCAAGTCCTTCAAATTCAAATCATGGTCGGTATACTGCACCTAAAAATGTTACCAGTCAATTCAAATATGGTACTCTTTGAGTGTAGCTATCGTCGGAATTTTCCAGTGGCTTTATAACCAAAGTAGTCCCTTGAAGAAAGCCGTCTTCTGGGATGTGGCGCCGTGTACATATTGTGTTAACCGACGTTTCGGAGAAAAGTGTCGCCTCCATCTTCAGGGTAGAAGACAAGAAGAAATCCGCGAGCGAACCAGTGTGAACAGGTGTAGGTGATTTCTTCTTGTCTTCTACCCTGAATATAGAGGCGATACGTTCCTCCGAAACGTCGGTTAACACAATATCTACATGGCGCCACATCCCAGAGGACGGCTTTCTTCATAGTCAGCGCCGTGAAAACCTCAAATCTTACAAAGTAGTCCCTTTACCACTTACTAAAGGCATTGATTTCTCCCATCATTCCTTGTTTGTTTGTTTTTCTCTTATTAATAATAATTGGATACATTCCTATTGCCAACTTGATAAATGTCTAAGTTCTGTAGTCCGACTCTGATTTTTAGTAACATATAGAAGTTTCAAGTAAACAGTATTTTAGTATTGACTGAGAGAGACACCGAAGGAACGGCATCCCGCGTTTATAGAAGAAATCTCCTCGTAAGTTCGATATAATAGCCGGAATTTTCTTGTTTTTTTTTATATAGTCACTGCACAACCCAAAGCCTAGTTGGGAAGTGAGCAAGAGCAAAGATAAGAAACAAAACACACTTAAACAAAGTACAGAACAGACAGTGTTCGTCATTATAACAATCATTCCATCAACACATTTGAGAGTTATTATTTGAAACGATAAAAATAAAATTCGTACATTTACAGTGAATACAATTATTATTTTAATGATTAGATGAACCATGGCTAATATAAAAAATTCACGTTCTAAAGATATCAATATATTATTCGATTCAGTGCGATTCTTATTTGTTAAAGTACATGCTTAACGTCTCAAACGCCAGTTGCAAAGTGGGCGCGAGTAATGGTTATCTGATTGAGCACTAAATATTTTTGTTTTTTATTGGTAGTGGGGTGGGACTAAGTCCCTTGTACTGCCGCCACTTCTGGCCTATTGTACCAGCCCCAGATGATAGGTCAGGATGAGGGATCGAACCCGGGCCGAATGAAGATTGTCAAGGAAAACCGAAATACTCGGAGAAGACCTTTCCCAGCGCCACTTTGTCCACCACAAGTCCCACTTGACCAGACCCGGGATCGAACCCGGGCCGCCGCGGTGGAAAGCCTGCGACTAACCGCTTGAGCTATGGCACGGCCGGAGCATTAAATAACGCACACCTGGCTGTCTGTTCTTTAAAAATTTCCAAGGACCTGTAAACACGCCTTCGCAAAATTGAGGAAGCGGTTTTTTTCTGTGGGCTGCCTCGAGGCTATATAACGAGGATCACACGTAGCTAGAATCAAACACCCGTGTGGAGTCGTGGTCGAATACCTCCACCATGACCCTGCAAGTCGTAGGAGGCGACGAAAATGGAAGTTTCAAATCTGAGACAGTAAAATATGGTCGCTAGTCCCAAGGAACTCGGGCCCGAGAAAGACTGCGCTGGCAAGAACCAGCAGCATATATAAAAGACAGGCCCGTCCTCTCGTCAGAGAGGACGCCTCAGAAGAACAAGACCGTAACCATCAAACAGTAACAAATATCTTGGGAGCTTGACACTAAGACTTACTGACTGACCGTTAGTTGCAACGTGACTTTGACTAGAATTAGAATTGGGTCGAGCTCTGGGGAGGGCAGTCGAAGGTAACTGAGAAGATATGTCAAGAAAGGAATTAGGCTGTGAAAAGAAGACTCCACGTGTGATATGAAATTACAGCGAGACTGTGAAAAATTCGTTGCAAGGATATGGCTATTGAAGACTGGGAATCCTAATGCATGTGCAATGGTGAACTGCAAAATATGTAGAATAGCGATAGTGCTGTATCGCCTGTAGTCCACTTGTGTGAATGTATAAGGTGCAATAAATCCAATCATCAAATACAAAACCTGTCTATAGACACCAAAACACGTGACAACAGTAGTGAGTCTAGAGAGAATTCGCCTCTGGTCGTTTGAATTTTACGGTTCGAAAAGACTAAACCTTATATAGTATTATAAACCCTTGTTTCTCATAACTCTGTGGGATGTGACCTCGTCTAGTCTGGTAGATATTTACCGAAGTTTCGGGGGAACGGCAGTAAACATGTACCGGACAATATTGCGTGACAACCAAAGATATTTATTTTCATCTATATGCCATACTTTATGTGAAGAAAGCGCGAAATTTGTTTCGCTTCTTAGCGATAACTCTGGGTACAAGAAAAGCGAATATAACGTCCAACTGACGTCTGAAGCATTTATATAGCGTAATTTTAATGAAATGCAGCGCTACAGATCATCACCTGATTCGTTCAGTCCTTTTGAATGTGCATTTGACCCAATAGAGCACGAATTAATTTTTTTATCTTTCATTATGTTTGTTAGTTTTACGTGAAGGTATGTCAAGTCTACATGTCAAACCAATCTCTTATTCCTATTTCGAAACATATTTCTCTTGGTAACATGCCGTAATGTGTTTTACATATATAAAATGTCGCCTATTGGCTTGATTATTCCTACCAATAAAATCGTCATAAAACCAGATTGAGCTGTATATTTTTATATCCTTAAATCTAATAGATCAGCTTGAGATTTTGAGTGCGCACGCGCGGGTTTCGGGTAAAAATTTCTATTGGTACGTGGATGTGTCAATAGAGGTCTCTCTGCCGTCTACATTCATAAATTTGATGAGAAATATTTGTTTAAAAGATCACTTTGAAGCCTGTATATTTGTATTTTTCGAAGCTGCTTATTATGATTGGACTGTAGGTAAGCGAAGTGGAGTTCATAGTTACAATATGTAAATTTATATGGCGACGGTAACAAGTCGTAAAAATAATTTCTCATCGAATATATATAAACAAGTGACTGCTATAACACAACGGGGACACAGGCCAAAGAGTCCAGCAGTTCCTATCTTGGCATTCGAACTTACGACAAGTAGTAACATATATCAACACATAGGGACACTAGAATGTTAAGTAAATGAAGCTATCAGAATGATTATCTTAACCTTGGAAATAATATGTGGCGTGTGTTCTGAATTAAAAGGTGC